CCCGGGCCGCCCCCAATGGCCGCAGGGAGCGGCCGCCTTACCACCTCCTGTGCAAGTTCAAGTAAACACATACAACCCGCATCATCCAGAGAAAAATTGCAACTCATCCATGTACCAGATTTCGGTGTCTCTTGCAAAAGTTTTCTGGTCCGTTTCCGTTTTTCGGTTTTTTTTTTTTTTTTATCATTATTATTCTTTTTTAATTTTTTTAATGATTTGCTTTTTAATGGTTACTATCGGTTTGTATTTTATTTTTTTTAAAGCGCTGCTTTGTTGGTTGTGTCGTCGGATCTCTCTTTCTATTTATTTATTTTTATTCAGTATTATTATCATTGTTTTTAGACAATCGAAGTCCGCAGAGCTTTCGGGTTTTGTTTTATTATTATCCTTATTGTCACCATTATTTTGCTTTTGTTTGTTTGTCTGTGCTGTTTCTTTCCCTCTCTCACTTGCTCGGGTTTTGCTTTTACACATCATCGGGTTTCTACATACACACACACACACATATATATATTCATTTCCGTTAAACGTCGCTTTGTTTCTGCTTTATTTTTTATTTTTTTTTTCTTAGTAATTTTTCCTTTGTCGGCGGTGTTTGTCGGAGGCGATTCGTGTCAAGTCCGTCAACTGTTGTACTGACAGGCGTTTAGGCTGGAGCCGGGGCTCTGCAAACTGCTGTAGCCGAAACTGGAGTGCTGCTTTGATTTCAGTCTGAGGCTGGCCAGGCTGGAGTTACAAGTGTCCCGGTACACGCTGTAGGGCGAGCCCGGCGGCCCATAGGGACAAGCGGGCGAGGACATGGCCGAGTTGAGCGAGGAGCCGCTGATGTTGTTGATGTTGTTGAGGCCGGAGTTGGCCATTCCCGGCACGGCCGAGTGGCCCATCCCGGAGGGCATGTTCATGGAGGAGATGCTGCTGGGAGCCGAGAACATGGACTGCGAGGAGAGGGGGCTCATGGAGTTGAAAAAGGTGAAGCTCTTGGTGGAGAGCGGCGCCGGGGTGAGGCTTTTGGTGGCCCAGTTGTTGTAGGGGTACCCGGCGTACATGTCGTCGTAGGGCTGCATCAGCCCGCTGAACTGCGGCACGTAGCCGTTCTTGCACAGGTCCATCTGCTGGTTCCGCTCCCGCTTTCTCCACTTGGCTCGGCGGTTCTTGAACCACACCTGAGGGAGGGACAGGCCACGGTCAGAGCTGCCCCGCCGCGTACGATGCGCTCCCGGCCGCGCAGAGGCGCGCAAGTAGCGCGCAGCCGCTCCCGGGCCACCCCTCACCGCCCAGACGTCCCCACCCTCCCCACGCTCTCCATCGCTCCCAGTCCCATCGCTCCCAGTCCCACCGTTCCCAGTCCCATCGCTCCCTGCCCCTCTGTTCCCTGTCCGCGCATCTCCGCGCGCAGGCGATATTCAGCGGCATCTGCGAGCGGGGCTGCGCGCAGCCGTCCGTGCTCGGGTGTCCTCATCCCCCCCCTCCGCCCCTCTCCCTTCGCCATGGGGAGAAGGCACGGCCCGCTCTGATTAGGGCCGGCTCGCCCCGGCTCCGCCGTGTTTCCGAATGCTAATGCTGTGTAATAAAAGTCCCCTGTTACAGATCATAAAAAAGGGGATTGGATTAGTATGTTTAGGTTTAAAAAAAAAAAAAAAAAAATCAGTCCCTGCATGGCCCTTGGATGGATGCAGCCTCTGCCTTTATATCTAATGAGAATTTACAGCCCTGACTGGGAAACAGAGGAGCAGGGGCCGCTCCTGGTGTTTGATGCAAAAACCCGATCCAGGCTCTCTCTCCTATTTTCTTTCTTTTTTTTTTTCTTTTTCTTTTAGGAAAGGCTTTGAGCTCCCCGCGATGGGAGCCATGAGCCGGGCCGGGATTGGGGCCGCGCGGGTTCCGAATTCTTTCCCCAAGTTAAACCCGGCAGCACTGCGCTCGGTTCTCAGCTTCCTCCGCCTCCCCCTCCTCACTGCGCGCGGCACCGCGGAGGCTGCGCCCCTCGGAGCGCCCCAGCCCTCCCCTCCCCGCGCAGCGATGGCGCAACGCTCTTTCACAGACGTTCATGGGGATGGAGGGAAAGAAAAAAAGACACCAACAAACTACGAGGGAAGAAGGGATGGCGGAGCCAATTTAAAAAATAACAAGAATAAAAAGAATCCCGTATTAAATAAGAAGAGGAAACGAAAGCCAACGTTTTCAAAACCTGTAATATACTCCTCGGAAGGTGCTTCCAGACAGGAATTTCCTGAAAATGAGGGTAATAGTTTTAATTATGGCTCCTAGACATTTTAAAGGAAGGCCCTCACAGCAAATTAAGGTTAGATTTGCAATCTGCAATCTCAGAACATCAAACCAAAACATCTCCGCACAGAGGGAGAACGAAATGATGTTAATGGCCACTCGTATATTAGTTTTATTTGCTTCCTGAAATATTCCAGCAATATTAATGCCGTTCAGTCTCCTCTCGGGCTTTGTTTTGTTTTGTTTTGAACGCAATTAGTGCAATGCTTTCGGATGAGAGCGTGTTTACTCTCGGAAGATTTTAGACGGAATTTTTGCTATCCGACTGGATCACTCGGAGTTTAATTACCAGAAAGGGCTTCGCGGGGCTGAGGGGTGACTCTCGATACCCCCCCCTTTTTTTTTTCTCCCGAATTTCTGCTCCGGCCCCGGCCTGGTGAGGACTCAGAGGGGCCGAAACCACGCAGGGAAAAATCTCGGGAGGAAACGGCGAGTGGAGATGGGAAAAACTGCTGCGGATCGATACGGCCCGAGCCGCTTCGCGTTGGTTGTTCATCGCAGCGCTATCTCGCAAGTAAATCTCTCTAAATAACCGCTGAGGCTATATATATATATATATTCCCGGATGGCATCGGCTCGGAGCCGTAGAAAGACCCAGCGCCTCCGCCTTACGGGAACGTGTCGTGCTATTGACTTTGGAGGGCAGTCTCCCCCCAACCCCCCGTCCTTCGCTTTGCCGGCAGCCCCGCAAACAGCGGAGCCACGTCCGGCGCTGCCCCCGCGAGGGATGCGCGGCCGCTCCGCGCGGATCCCGGGGGCTGAGCCGCGATCCCGAGGAGCCGCCGAGCGGTGGTTTCTTTGGGGGGGGGGGG